GCCCTCCAGCCCCACCCCTGCTCACTGGGCCCTGCCCCCCAGCCCACCCCTGCTTACTGGGCTCCTGCTCCGCGTCCATCTTGGCCTTGAGCAGCATCCGAAGCCGCGACACCTCCTGCCGCTTGAGCTCGTCCAACTTGGTGCGGACATGGTGACTGACAAAGTCCAGCTCCCGGCTCAGCTTCCCGCTCTGGCCGGAGAGTGAGGGACACTGGTCAGGCTGGAGGCCCAGACGGGGCACAGTCTCTGGCCTCCCTGGAACCTTCCACAAGCTTCCTCATGCCTCCCAGGGCTCCACAGAGGCCCCGAGACAAGGTCCCAGCCCCTCAGCTTGGCCTTGGAGGCCCTGCCCACTCCTGTGGCCCCACCTCCCGTCACTCATCCAATCATACTCGGTTCCAGCCACTCTCACTGGGTGTAGGTCCCCAAGCTCAAGGCCCTTTGCCACCTCAGGGCCTTTGCACACGCTGGGCCCTCTGCGGGGGAAGCTCTCCCACCACCGCTTCCCAAGCCTAACCAGACCCTCCTGTCCTGCAGACGCAAAGCAGATGGCAGAATCCCCCCAACAACCCTCTGGGCCCTGCCCCCCCCCATGTACATGCATACACATGTGCACACACGCACACACACACATGTACATGCATACACATGTGCACATGCACACACACCGTGCGGAGCAGGAGGCCTTCACTGAGCTGCTTCCATTACCACTTGTATGTAATTATGTATGTGTTTTCCGATGGTCTTAGGTGACCCCTGTGAAAGGGTCGTTCGACCGCCAAAAGGGTCGCGACCCACAGGTTGAGAACCTCTGCCCTCGCCGGTTTGGCTCAGTGGATAGAGCCTTGGCCTGCGGACTGAAAGGTCCGGTTTGATTCGCACCATGGAGAGGCAAGAGGCTTAGGAGAGCCAGACCCGGTCCCGGGGCACAGGCAGTGCAGCTCTGGGCTGTGTACACAGGGTGCTTTATTCTCCGGAGTGATACATGCTATGGTGGGTTGGGCTTGGGCCGATGTCCCCATATGTACAGACTGAATAAAGTGGGTCTCTGAGAAGTTTGATTTGCCTTCATGTGGAAGGGAGATGGGCGTGTTTCTGTCTCTCTCTCCCTTTGCCTTCCTCTCTGAAATTATTTTTTTTTTAAAAAAAGAATTTCCAGGCTCGGCACTCACCCACCGCCCCAGCCCCGTCCGCTGGTCTCTGTCCGTTATAAGGAACCGCCAGCAGCTGATGTACCGGAAGCTTGGTTTGCACACAGTTCCTCCCGTCTCTGTCTGAAATGTCAGGGCCCTCCCCCTCCCCCACCCATTTCACCTTCTATCCTCCCTCCCCCCCAGAATCCACCCTCACCCGGGTGTCCCTTCCCTAGAGGCGACCTCTCGCTTGTCAGACTGGACGGGCCCTCTTTGGGGCCTCCCCGGGGCCCCGCCTAAACCACCGCTCAGATCTCGGATGGCTTCCTGTCACTCATGACTCAGTGGGGCCCCGAGCCCTCAGCACAGTCCCTGAGCCAGGCTCCGAGCGGGACCCCCTGGGCCTGTCCTCTAGGTCTGCCCACGACCCCATTTCCAGGCGAACAGAGTGAGGCCCAGGACAAGCCGCTTGCCCAAGGCCCCTCAGTGAGGCCGGGCGGCCAGGGTGCACCCCAGCGCCAGCCCGCTCCCTGCAGGACCGGTCCCTCCACCCCCCTCCCTGCTGGGCCTCACAGCGGGCTCAGGCGTCCGATCTAACCCCGAACCCTAACCGCCACCGATGATGACATTTCCCGCAGGCTCCCCACGTGCCTGGCCGGCCCTTGGGGAAATCACCGCCGATTTGCAAAACCACTCTCACAACGGAGAGGTGTTACCAGCCTGCGTTTTCTGAGAAGGAAAGCGTGGACCCCGGGAGCGCAGGCGGGGCCGGGCTTGGAACCCGGCACCGGCCCACCCTGAACCTGCCCGCACAGTGGCCTCTGCTTCTGACTTCGCTTCTCAGTGGTGCAACTTGGGGCAAGCCCAGGGGCCGCTGGTGCCTCAGTTTCCCCAGATGGGCAGTGGGAGGGGTTGGACCCAGCTGTCTCTGCTGTTACGTGTTTCTCCTCAGGGGCAGAGTGGACAAGGACAGACAAGGGCCCTGGGAACGCTGGGAGGTGTTTTGGGGGAGAGCAGGGCTGCCTCCCCACCAGTTCCAGGTCCTGGGGCCTCTCCTGGGCCCAGGTTTTGGAGAACTTGGGATGTCTCCCCTAGAAGGGACATTTTTTTTTAAAATATATTTTATTGATTTTTTACAGAGAGGAAGGGAGAGAGATAGAGAGTGAGAAACATCGATGAGAGAGAAACATCGATCAGCTGTCCCCTGCACACCCCCTACTGGGGATGTGCCTGCAACCCAGGTACATGCCCTTGACCGGAATCGACCCTGGGACCTTTCCGTCCGCAGGCCGATGCTCTATCCACTGAGCCAAACCGGATTCGGCTAGAAGGGACGTTTTTAAAAAATATATATTTTTATTGATTTCCAAGAGAAGGGAGAGGGAGAAACATCAGTGATGAGAGAGAATCACTGATCGGCTGCCTCCTGCATGCCCACACCGGGGATCAAGCCCACAACCCAGGCATGTGCCCTGACCGGGAATCCAACCGTGACCTCCTGGTTCATAGGTCAATGCTCAACCACTGAGCCACACCGGCCGGGCAGAAGGGACATTCTGACAGCACCCAGGGAGGGAGTGTGTGTGGTGGGGTGGGGAGACGGAGCCGGGCAGGGACAGGGCGTGGGCTCAGGGGGTGAGACCCGGGCCCACAGAAGGACAAACCCTGCGCTCAGGACCTCAGCCTTCTCTTCTGTGAGGTGGAGATAATCAGGGCCGATCCTTCTCAGGCAGGAAGCGCTGTGCTCAGTACTGAGCGCGCACACGCTGGGGACACCACTGTGGCTGTGGAAACCCTGTGCAAGTCTAACCCGGGACCATCCACGCTGGAACCCCGGAGGCAGGTTCTGTGACACCCATTTTACAGATGGGGAAACTGAGGCACAGCAAGGGGCGGTCACATAGCTGATACGTGGCAGAGCTGAGGCTGGGAGCTGCGACATCTGAGACACTACACACTCTGTGTTCCCAAGTCCCTTCCCAGGCGTGTGACCCGGAGAAGCGATTTCTCCCCTTGCGAGGGCTGGAGCCACGTGGCCCCTTTAAGGAACGCGGTCCTTCCCGAAACTCTGCCCCTGAGCCCGTGTCCCCTCCTGCCCCTCGCGCCCAGCCGCACCTTGATATCCTCCGCGTTGGCGGCCTGCAGCTTCTCTCGGAAGTGCCCGTCCGTCTCCAGCACGTTAATGACCTCCTGGAGGTAGCGGTGATAGTACAGACCTGTGTCCTGCGGAGACAAAGAGGAACAGAGCAGCTCAGTCCCCGCCTGAAGCGGGGGGCCCAGACCCGGCTCCCCGAGGCATCTGCGGAGGGACCCAGAGAGCCCCCACTTGGAGCTGGGGGCTCGCCCCCTGGATCAAGGCTCTGCAGCCAGCAGACGGGTCCTAACCCCCATCTGCTCTGTAACCCAGGAACCTGCTGACCTCCAGGCCACAGCTCTCACCTCTGCCCAGGTCTGTCGTGGAGACAAAATGTGTCACAAGGGCACACACACACCCAACGCTGCTCACAGGGTGGGGCTTACCCAGCAGACACACTGGTACTTGTCGGCGAGCAGAGTTCGTTCGTTCGTTCGTTCATTCGTTCATTCATTCATTCATTCAATTAGCATCCACTGAGCCCCTACCATGTGGCAGGTGCTGCTATAGACTGAAGCTCTGGGTTCCTGGCCCCACTGCTCAGAGCTGCGCAGGAAAGAAAATGAGACACACAGCCTGGCCCGATGATAAGGATGCGGACGACACTCCGCCTGCTCTGGCTCTCACGACATCAGTTGAGGAGCACACAGTAGGTGCTTAGTACAAGGTAAGCGAATCCCAGCTATGCCACTGTGGGTGCACCCTTTCCTACTGTTGCTAAAACAAAGTATCACAAAGTAAGTGGCCTAGAGCAACACACAGTTTATTCTCTCAGCGTCTGGAGGTCAGAGAGCAACATGGGTTGGTGGGGCTCAGCAGGTTCCCCAGGCCCCAGGGGAGAGCATTTCCTTGTTTCCTCCCGCTCCCATGGGCCGCCTGCGCTCCTTCGCCCATGGCCCTGCTCACTCTGACATCTCCCACCATCACATCGCCTCTGGCGCTGACCTTCCTGCCTTCCTCTTAGCGCAGCGGTTCTCAACCTGAGGGTCACGATCCCTTTGGGGGTCGAACGACCCTTTCACAGGGGTCACCTAAGACCATCGGAAAACACATAGATAATGACATATTGTTTTTGTGATGAATTACTGTGCTTTCATTATGTTCAATTTGTCACAATGAAAATACATCCTGCAGATCAGATATTTACATGATGATCCATAACAGTAGCAATATTACAGTGATGAAGTATCAACGAAAATAATTTTATGGTTGGGGGTCACCACAACATGAGGAACTGTATTAAAGGGTCGCGGCATTCGGAAGGTTGAGAACCACTGTCTTAGAGGGACCCTGGGCTCACCTGCATGACCCAGAATAACGCTTCCATCTCCATGGCCCTGCTCACTCTGACATCTCCCACCATTACATCGCCTCCGACACTGACCTTCCTGCCTTCCTCTTAGAGCAGCGGTTCTCACCTGCGGGTCGCAACCCCTTTGGGGGTTGAACGGCCCTTTCACAGGGGTTGCCTAAGACCATCGGAAAACACATATATAATGACATACTGTTTTTGTGATGAATCACTATGCTGCAATTATGTTCAATTTGTCACAATGAAAATACATCCTGCAGATCAGATATTTACATGATGATCCATAACAGTAGCAATATTACAGTGATGAAGTAGCAACGAAAATAATTTTATGGTTGGAGGTCACCACAACATGAGGAACTGTATTAAAGGGTCGCGGCATTAGGAAGGTTGAGAACCGCTGTCTTAGAGGGACCCTGGGCTCACCTACATGACCCAGAATAACGCTTCCATCTCAAGATGCCAGCTCAGTCACACCCGGGGACACCCTTTTGCCGCAGGAGGTGATATATTCCCAGGTTCAAGCGATTAGGGAGGGGACATCTTTGGGGACCATTTTTCAGCCAAACACAGTGGGTTGAAATCTTGTTAGGTAGGACTGCCAGGATGCCTCAGTGTCCTGTGCTTGTACTTCCCAAGTCTGGCAAACTTAGTCCCTGAACAAGTTCCTTAATCCCTCTGTGCCTCAGTTTCCCCACCCCCCTGTGGTTGATGTTTATAACATTCGGTGCTTTCCACTAGTCTCCGTGTAAAGACATTCTCTATCATAGCCCACAGGGCCCCGTGGGACCTGCCTCATCCCGTCCCCTCTCTTGTTCAGTCAGCTCCAGCCACATTGGCTTCTTCCGCCCAGGCTGCTCCCTCTGCCTGGGATCTGTGGTTCCGCCCTGAACTTCAGATCTCGCCTCAATGGCCATCACTCCTTGTGTCCACTCCCAGGAGCCCCGAGAGCTAGGCCGGCCTGCGATGGGACTGGGCTTGCGTTAGGGCTGTGCTTGGCTCATAGAAGATGCTCAAGAAATGTGTGGAGCCCTGACCGGTTGGCTCAGTGGATAGAGCATTGGCCTGCGGACTGAAGGGTCCCAGGTTCGATTCCAGTCAAGGGCATGTACCTTGGTTGCGGGCACATCCCCAGTGGGGCGTGTGCAGGAGGCAGCTGATCCATGTTTCTCTCTCATGGATGTTTCTAACTCTCTATCCCTCTCCGTAACTCTCTGTAAAAAATCAATAAAATATATTTTAAAAGAAATGTGTGGAGTGAATGAGGAAAAGGAAGCCCTTCTGTCTCTGCAGAGATTTCTCTGGGCAGAGGCCTAAGTCACTGGGTGGGGACCTGCCACACAGGAGCCTGGCACAGTCTGTCCCGGAGATAGTGACGGGCCGGTTCCTAGGGGGAGGATCCTCCCTAGTGCGAGGATTCCGGTCATAAATCAGGACGCTGGCCTTGAGGAAATCTCTCAAGTTCCAAATACCAAATGCCCTAAGACCAGTGGTTCTCAACCTTCTGGCCCTTTCAATACAGTTCCTCATGTGGTGACCCCCAACCATAACATTATTTTCGTTGCTACTTCATAACTGTCATGTTGCTACTGTTATGAATTGTCATGTAAATATCCGATATGCAGGGTGGTCTTAGGCGACCCCTGTGAAAGGGTCCTTCAGCCGCCGAAGGGGTCGCGACCCACAGGTTGAGAACCGCTGCCCTAAGACCGAAGGTTTCCTAGCGTTGGATAAATACCTACTGGAATTACCTAACCGGGCGGTTTATAAGCCTCTTTGTCATTTGAACTACAACTCCCAGGAGCTCCAGGAAGTGAGAACTGCCCAATTAGCTAACAACACAACACCTGTGTAAGGCGCTACTGGGAAATGTAGTTCTTTTGTTCAAATTCCTGCTTGAGGAGAGGGGAGTCTTAAAAAAATAAAATAAAATAAAATAAATAAAAAACACTCCCCCCAAAGAGAGGTTTAGGGGTGTGTGTAGAGGTGGGGTGTTGGGGGGCGGGAGCTGATGCCGACTTTTCACTTAACATCTGGCCTCATTTCCCACAGTTCAGAGTCAGGGACTTGGACATCTGTTCCCTCAGCCCGCGCCCCCCGCCACCCCCCATCGCCCCAGTTTTTCATCAAGTCAAAGC